TTGCACAGGTCCTGCTTTACCTTGGTCTTAACCATCCAGCAGAAAAATATAAAAACGAAGTATAGGAGGTAAAGCCATGGTGTTATGTTGAGCTGTAGGGGACTCAGGTCAACAATTTTTGACGTTGCTAGTGAAGTAGAAGACCCAATACTAGTATGGACTACGGGACTCTTTCAGAATATTTTGCTGAATTAACATACCTATAATATTCAAATAACAGAACTTAACAAAAAAAGGAGATACAGATGAATGTCCATTTTGTATCTGTGTATTCAAAATGGTTAGGATCGATATATAGTTATATTCTCTTAATGAATAGAGGGATGTGTTCTAATAGTGTTTGTAAATAGGATATTATGTCTGCATCTTATACAGCAATTAACCAGTAGGAAGAATGTATGCAATGTGTTAATTATTGAAACTGTCCTACCAATTTGGTTTGAAACGGTCTCATTGCTATTTCTCAATAAAATTATGGAGAAAAAAAAGAAGTAACGAAACAAAAACCTGTTTTTTTCAAAGATTAAATAAAATTGATAAGCCCTTAGCCAACCTCATCAAAAAGAGGAAAGAAAAAATTCAAATACAAGCATTAAAGGAATGAAAAGGGTATAATTACCACGACCACTGGAAATTCAGAAGATTGTCAATAGCTACTTTGAGAATGTTTCCTGTCACACAACAGAAGAGACAGAAAAAAAGGAAAGATTTCTGTACAGGTACAAATAACCAAAACTGAATCAAGAAGATACAACAACTCTCAGTAACAGCCAATGAAATATGAAATGTAACAAAAAACCTACCGACAAAGAAAAGTCCAGGTCCAGATGTATTCAGAGCTGAATTCTAAAAGAAATTTGCGTAAGATATAATCCCTATACAAGTTAAACTCCTCAGAGAAATTGAAAAGGAAGCAATCCTCCCAAAATCATTCCTGGAGGCAAGTATTATACTGATACCAAAGGGCCGGGGATATGGCTCAGTGGAATAAGTGCTTCCCTGGCAAGCGCAAGGGCCTGAGTTCAATCCCCAGTTCTAGCAAAAATAAGTAAATATACTAATACTACAACCAGGGAAAGACAACTAAAAAGAGAACTACAGGCCAATCTCCCTCATGAACATAAATGCAAATATCCTTAACAAAATCCTAGCAAACAGAATACAGCAAATCATCAAGAAGATTATATACCATGACCAGGTAGGATTCATTCCAGCGATGCAAGGATGGTTCAATACTCAAAAATCTATAAATGTAATACACTATATGAATAGAGCAAAATCTAAAAACCACATCATCATCCCAATTGATGCAGAAAAGGCTTTTGACAAAGTACAAGACTCATTCAAATTCAAAATCCTACAGAAAATTGGAATAGATGGCCCCTACTTAAATCTGACAAAAGCCATGTATGACAACCCAGTGGCTAACATAATTCTAAATGGGACAAAAATTGGAATCTTTTACTCTCAGATCTGGTACAAGATAAGGATGTCCTCTATCACCACTCCTATTCAATATTGTTCTGGAATCATTAGCTAGAGCCATTAGACAGGAGAAAGAAATAAAAGGAGTAAGAATGGGTAAAGAAGAAGTTAAATTATCATTATTTGCAGATGACATGGTACTTTATACTTGAAAGACCCAAAAAACTCCACCAAGAAGCTACTAGAATTGATACACAAATTCAGTAGCATGGCAGGACAAAATGTCAATACCCAAAAGTCAATAGCAGTCCTTTACACATATAACAAACACACTGAGAGGGAAATTATAGAAATAATACCTTTTACAATAGCCCTGCAAAAAATGAAACACCTTGGAATTCATCTAACTAAAGAAGTCAAAGATCTTTTCAAGGAAAATTACAGTACTCTTGAAAAAGAGATTGTAGAGGATTTCAGAAAATGGAAAGATATTCCCTGCTCCTGGATAGGAAGCAACATTGTGAACATGACCATACGCCCCAAAATTGCTGTATGGATTTAATGCAATCCCTATCAAACTACCACCAATGTACCTCCCAGACCGAGAGAAATCGTTCCTAAAATTCATTTGGAACCAGAAAAGACCCAGAATAGGAAAGGCAATCCTGGGCAATAAAGACAAGCAGGAGGCATTACAATTCCTGACTTGAAATTATACTATGAAGCTACTGTGATAAAATCAGCATGGTACTGACAACAAAATAGACCTGAGGATCAATGGAGTAGATTAGAAAATGCAGAAGCCTCTATGAACACACTCAGCCACCTTATCTTCGACAAAGGGGCCAAACATGCTCACGGGAAGAAAGATAGCCTCTTTAACAAATGGTGCTGGAAAAACTGGCTCTCTACATGCCGAAAACTAAAACTTGACGCAGGTCTATCACAATGCACTAAGCTGAAGTCAAAGTGGATTAAAGATCTAAACATAAAAACAGAAACACGAAATCTCCTGGAAGAGAAAGTAGGAGGAACTCTTGAACAGGGGTAGCCAAAGAGTTCCTAAACAAAAATCAAAGCACAAGGGTAATATTTGAGTTAATAACTGGGACCTCCTCTTACTGAGATTTTGCACATCAAAAAAAAATTACCAACAAAGTGAAAAGACAACCCACAAATTTGGAATAAAATCATGACAAATAAGCACTCAGAAAAAGGTCTGCTCTCTAAAATTTATAAAAAGCTAAAAAACATTAGGGCTCCAAAATTTAAAGACCCAATCAAGAAATGGGCATCTGAGATGAACACACACTTCTCAGAGGATGAAATTAAAGAAGAGAATATATGAAAAAATGCTCTACATCATTAGCCATCCGTGAAATGCAAATTAAAACAACACTGAGATACCATATCACCCCACAAAGAATGGCTATGATAAAGAATTCAACCAACAACAAATCTTGGTGTGGCTGTGGGGGAGAAGGAACCCTTCTACACTGCTGGTGCGAATGTAGACTGGTGCAACCATTATGGAAATCAGTGTGCAGACTCCTTAAAATACTAGGACTGGAAATCCCATTCAAACCAGCTATTCCTGTACTGGGAATTTTCCGAGAGGAACTGAAAATGTCAAATTATAGTGACATATGCGTACCTATGTTTATAGTAGCACAATTTGTGATAGCCGAATCTTGGAAACAACAAAGATGCCCATCACCTGAGGAATGGATGAAAAAGATGTGGAATTTGTATATAATGGAGTATTACTCAGCTATCAAGAATGATAAACTCGAAGCCTTCATATTTAAGTAGATTCCACTTGAAGATATACTCATAAGTGAAATAAACTAGACTCATATGTATAAATATCGTATAGTGTCCCTAGTATAAGAACTCAAAGAAAAAATAAAAATAGAAAGGCATAACGCAATTAGAAGGAAAGCGAGAACTTGAGGAGTAGGCAACGAAGAGACAGCAAGGAGAAAAGCTAGGAAACATGACAGGCGCAAAGCCATACATTTATATGCAAAGGACAGGTAAGGGAATGATCCTGAGAAACATCAGCATATTTTTGAAGCTAGCAGTTAATTGGCAGGATTTTCATTCTGACTAACTACACATGCTGATATCTGTGAACTCAGTAACTTCACTGAAGATAGCAATGTGTAATGGTAGGGTCATGCTTGGAATGCCTGTCATTCTGGTCTTCTAAATATGTACTGTTTGTCATGACATACCAATTACTGTGATACTGTCTCTCAAGTAAATGTTTAAAAAAAAAGGGGGTGGTAATAAATGAAAACAAGAGACAAGAAAAAAAATGTCATTGGACTGTCCTGCTACAATGCTCTATATGGTTAGATTTCTAAATTTCTGTGTAAAAATATGTAACCATTTATTCCTATTTTTTAAAATTTTTAAAATGTTTTTCTTCATATTCTGTAGGGACTTAAAGTTTAAGATATCAATACTAGATGGAAAATACCTGTTCCATGTTATGCCTAAAATGTTTGATATTCAGACAGATAGGGAGCTTAAGCTCAACTGCATATGTTGTAGGGTAGTATTAATAAGCTCCTCTTCTGGATGGTTAACAACCTACATTCGCAGACCAAAAATTAGAGAAAAAGAAGGGTGCAAGGGCAGCCAACATTTTGGCCCTAGCCTTTCAAGGTCAGTGAAGACTCAGAACATAGGAGAACCTGTACTGTAATATCATGTAACTCAGTTGTGTTCCAAATTTTCTGATCAAGGAGATTATGGGGCCACAGAGGAAAGTGATTGATGATGTAGAGTGTGCCTAAGGAGAGACACATGGAGAGAAAACATTCTCTCAGGGTTTCACAGACAGCAAATTGGTTAAGCGACGGCCATGACTCATCCACATGGCTGACACTGACAAAGGTTCTACAAATTGCGGCACAGGGTTACAGGATAAATCCTGAGGGGATTTGACTGACGTTATCAGATACAAAAGTTACATTACTTGTTATATAGGTCTTGCTTTGTCTTGGTCCTGACCATCAAGCAGAGAAGCGTGGGAATGGAGTATAGAAGATAAAGACATATTAATAATGCTTTCCAAACAAGCCTTTATTCCACTGAGGGAAGAGG